ACTCATTTTGACTTGTTTGGTAGTCCAGTGTGAATAAAACTGATTTCAACCTTTCACCCAGTGTATCATTTCCATTCGTACGGATTCCGCTCGTCTTAGAACTCGCAAGGAAAAACGGTCGAGATCGTGTGTATGTATATCGATCTTGGGAACCGCGGAAACTGGTCCAATCCGCGGATTAAACCATTTTTCCGGCAAGTGTCCCCCGCCGCCTCCTAAATTGCCACCCCAATTAAAATTCAAGGACCCCGGGTCAAAGAAAGAGGCCAGGCGGTGGAGACGAGGGTTAACGAATCGTGGCCCCGTTACGGCCGCTCATCGGATAATTCGGTGCAAGTCAGCGGGAGCACGGAAGAAAAATAAAGAACAGAAAGATCGGTCAGGCCCCGAGGAATTCGACCGGACGTACGTACAGGGATGATTCTCTTGCCCGGGGACCCGAAGGGAGTCGTTTGTTTTTTTTATTTCACCATATTTGCACAGACAGCAGATTTCAGGGCGATAGCCCTCGATGACACAGAGACTCTTAACACTTTGCTGGCGGAAGAGTTTTGGTGGGTTGCAAATATACAACTTCAGGTGGTCGAAAAAATATTTAGAAACTATTATTTTTATTTGTGAAACTTTAGATATAGAAAAAGTGAATTATACCTATTTTTTACTATTCTGGTTGTTATTTAACCCTAGATTACGATACTTCACTGTGAATTACGTTATTACGAAATTTTCGTAAAATTTATTACTCAGAGATAACCCTGTGTAACTTGGAGAAATAATATTTTTATTGATCTTTTGGGATCTTGGAACAATTACAGTTTGGACGAACGAAAGTTTAAAAAATTATTTACTGAATTCAGAAGCACAGGAGAAATGTTAACATTATGTGCACGACATATAACTTCTTTTACAAAAAAACACAAAAGTTTGTTGTCATTTTTTTTTAGTTTGAGGGACAGAGCAGAAGCTTTTCGTGACGAATCTGTCTGAGGTTCAACTGTATCAGTATTTTTTTTAATTTATATAATTTCTTTGATAGATTCCCTGGCATCACGTCATGAAGTCAGATTTTTTACGACGACTATGTTGTATTTTCAAAACTAACTAACGTCAAATCGCAATTTCGCATCACCTCTCACTGGCGTGAACAATTAGGATAATACATGACGGGGAAGAGTAATTGCGCGCAGAAAAGTGTCGATTTCTAAGAATTTTGTATTTTCAGATCGTAATTTTTACGGCATTCACGTAATCTAGGGTTAATAAAGACGTACTACTACGTCAACTCTCAGCTTTTGTTTCCGAAAGGACATTCTACTACGTCATCAGACGTCAAAGCGTTAATTCTCGAAGCAAGGAGGTTTTTAATGTTCCTACGGACCAGCCGTACCTGGGACCGTTTAGATCCCCTATTATTCCTTTCCTTACAAACGCATTTTCAAATCCAATCATTCAAGTAAATCCGTTTTTTTTACACAACTACTTAATACAAGCAACTCCTAGCTAAAAAATTATTACGTTATTCTATGAAAATTCTTGCTATTTTTTATGAATGTGATTTCCTACTCTAATCGAACTGTTTAATAATAGTTCCTTAGTTGTTCATCTCTGAGTCAACAGAAACCTATTAAATAACATCCAGTAAGTAATGTTAACCTCCTGAGGGACAAATTATTAAGACTCTTTTTCATCTCCATCTGTTTAAAATATATTTATGAATATTAATAACAATCAATTGATAGAATTTCCGAGTAAGTATTTATTCACAATAGTATTCATTGTATCTTTGGAATAATGCTTGCATGAAAGAAAATCTAAAAATACACATATGTGCCAGTATCCCCCAAGAGATTAAAGGTAAAAACAGCGAGCAGGTTTAGGTCCCGGTGTAGCTGACTATTCAGCTGACTATCAATAGAAATTATTTGAGGACAGCTAAAGCAGCTAGTCAACTGAACCATGAGCTGATTAGTCAGCTGCCTCTCTGTGTGATGTCACACTTGTTTTCCTTGCTTTGTTCTTTCAGTCAGCTGAATAGTTTGCTACATCTCGACCTTAACTTGATCGCTGTTTTTATCCTAAAGCAGATAGATAAATTGCTGAATCAGATGGAGCTCCTGAAAACTTAGGTCCAATCAGACCCAGGCATCCTAGGATTAATGCTGCAGCGTTGACAGATCAGAAAATTACAACGCTAATACCTCGACGGCTACTCCCTTTTGGATCATGTAACTAGAAAATCACCTTGTATGTAGGCGACGACGCTGTTTGAATCGCAAACGATCGACGCGGCGAAATACGCGATAACGGCCGATCGAACACAATGAACAACACGTAGTTCAGCGCGTAACGCAGCTTCCGTGTTCGATGGAACGCGTTGCCGCGTTACGTAATCGGCGGTACAGTTATCGTGGCGCGCGACGCGAAAAACGCGGCAATTTCCCGCGATTCCTCGCGACGTGGTAAGCGAACCAATGGAAAGAGGGCGCTTGTAACCGCCGAACGGCGTGACCGTTTTTCGTTGCGTGCTCGTCAGAGTTGGGGAGAATTTTATTGGAATAATACATAGTGAAAAGTGAGCAGTATTCAAAATCGTTATCCTGGCTTTAAATAATTCATGAAATTAACACTAGAAAAAATGTTATGACAATACATTTTCTCAGATCTTTTACACCTTTTATCATGTAGATGCAATAAAACAAGTGACAAGAATAAAGAATAAATATTTTATATTCTTCATGTATAAAGAAAACGAAAATTATTAACAATTTCCTTAATTCCCCGAAATTATCACCTAACTGTTCCGACCCAAAATGTAGCACGAGCATTGTCCTCTACGCCTTCGCAACCTTCAACGCCACACGTGGGATCCGTACACGTGGGTTCCGGGCAACATATCCATCGAACAGAAAACAGTAAAATGAGTTTCATTTCGAAGTCACACGGTAATCGAAACGAAATCTACATTTTTATTTGAAACGAACGCCTGAAATAGCTTCCGTAATTGCCAGCCGGAGTTCGGTCTGCGTTAGGTCACACAACCGTGAAAATAGAAACAGGCTTTTATTCGAACTAATTCGGTAAGTAAACACACGTGCGGGTCAGACTATTATCTGGGACGGTATTTGAAGCGATTAGGTGTAAAACAAAATTTTCCGATTCCGTCTCGACTTTTTTTTTTTTATTGAACAACACACAGATCATGGCGACGACGTCAACTCGGCTTGTTGCCCGAAACCATGAATATTAAGGAAGGCAATTTCGCGCTGGAACGAGCCACTGCAACGTTTCGTCGCGCGGAACCGGAAGTGTCACGGTTAACGGAAACGAATTTCTTTGGCCTCTCCGGGGCGACCAGTAAAATTAGGCGGATCGATTGCCTCGTCCAGTCGGTATCATAAATCCATGCCACTTAATGTAATTAAACGTCCGTATCAAACATTTGACAACTCTGCTCCACATTAACAGTTGTTCCCTCGATATTCCAAATATTAATATTTGCGAGGGACCATATCAAATTGCTAGTACTCTGCTGTGAGTACATAATAACTTTCTAATGAAGCTTAAAAAAAGTGTCAGAAGCGGGTCCAATAAATGCTCTGAAAATTGTGTTACGCATTCTGATATCAAGTAATAAGGAGACTACGAACATATATGTATTTGTATCATACACGATTTTTTCAGTACACATTTGCATAAACATCCGCAGTCTATTTATCGCAGACTACTAACACAAGTTTCTCTTTATGACAAAGAGAAGTACCGTTGAGTTGGTCCCGCATCGGAGTTTCGCCCATCCGGTCCCTGTTGCCATATAAGTTTACTAATAAACCGATCGACTAACGGGCCCCGTCCGACGATCACGCGGATAAACATAAAACACGCGAACGCGCACACAGCGACCTGTTCCTTTCCCGTTCAAGAAAATCCATTCAGAATGGACTCTGTCCCGAATCGAGCACCACAGAACGGAGCGTACACGTGATTCCGAAAGACGCAGTTCGAACAGTTTCGTTGGTTGCACGGAATACAGTAATATTCGAGGCTAGCGTGTACCTAACCTGTCTGACACACACGAGTCAGTGGAAATACCAGCGAGGGGCCGATGGTACGAGAACGAAAAATCTAACGGAGCGCACATTTTCGACGAGCAACAGTTCATTCGGTCCCCCCGATCGATTGTGGACAGAGAGAGACAGTGAGAGAAAAAGGTATGCCGCGGTAATGTGAAAAATATGATTGCCGGGGCTACCGTTCGTTTTCGACTCGATGGATCGAAACGAACTCGCCTAAACGAATAGTTTTTTTTCTAATTCGTGGATGACTTTTATTACGACCGATATACGCCACGTTATAATCCACACGGAACGAGTGAATCAAGGATCTTCCCGTGGAAAGTGTATGTCGTCGGTACGAGTCAGCAGGATGGACGCGATCGTCGATCGCGTGCACACGTCTGCATTTATTAGGAACTTACAGGACGGACGGTAGCGACGGACAAGCGCACACGTTCGGCATAGAGTACACCGGAGCGTATACCCGTTCCACACACGCATACACACACACACACACACACACGCTCGTACATTCTCTAGCACGCGTCGCGGCGACCAAGCTACACATAGACGGATGGACACACATGACACCGCCGCGCGACAACGAACGCGACAACGGCGGGGACGGATAAGAGAGAGAAACAGAGATAGAACGAGTACACCACGTACGTAGCTACATGTGATGATGCGTTAACACGGATACAAGTGTCTTGTAACCAGCCACGCACTCATGTACACGCACATCCGTACATCGAGAAGCATGATCCACGTACAGGGAAGCATATACATAGCCAACGACGGACTACGACACGACACGACCACGGCGCAACGAGGAGAGAGAGAGCACTCGTTGTTGTTTACGTTCTAGCATCTGAGCCGAGGAAAGTGCACGGGTACACACCGCGACCTGTCTCCCACAATGGCAAGGACCTACTGGTATTTCCTTACTCTGTTCGTGACGCCCGAAACCTCTCGCATGATCGCCTCGAACGCCGCTCTCTCCTGTGCCTCCTTCTGTTTGTGCAGCGCGATCTTGTCACTGAATTTTCGTGGATTCGCCATGATGGCTCCGGCCCACTAGATTTTCCCGGACACTCGCGAGGAGTTTATCGTGGCACACCACTAACTATGCGCGCGTTATGCCTTGTCGCGCGCGGGTTTCCCTTCTCACCGATCGCACCAATAAGGGCTCCCGTTAATTTGCACACCACGTTAGAACCCGTAACCCACTGCCTTCTGGATGGCACTGCCGATCACTGATACGCAAGATTATGCGGCGCAGCGCGCCACGCGCATCGCGCAGGAGCCGCTTTTCGCGGGCCGATTGGTTGCAACGCTCCCCCACCACCGTGTCGCAACCGCAATAAAAAACCGTCGACAGTTTTCCGGGGTGTTCCGAAAAGCCTGCCTCTCTCGCCTCTGTTCCGCGGCACCATTCTGCGCGGTGGATAAAACAGATTTTCGTGGCCTCGCTTCACAAGTTCGCGACCGAAGAAACTGAATATCGTCTGTCTTCTTCGATTCCGTAGTCTCTTGTTCATTTTTCTTCATCACACTCAGACTTATTTCTTAATTTAATAATGATCGGGAGACGAATGTTACGAATACTTTATGCAAAATCATATTGTCTTATAGTAATTTGCAAAGGACGCATGTTAAATTGAAACATGTTTCCTACCTGAAGGTTTTTATCGAGTTTAAATATATCGAACATTTCATTACATTTTTGTTAACGTTTCATGCAGCTTCATTATATTTAGGAGATTAATTTTGTTACGAGTATATAGAATCCACGATTTAGCTGTGACACAGTAGACAAATGCAGAGTCAGTTTCAATTAGTATTTTATTATAATATAGCTTTTTATACAGAAGAATTGTATACAAAATTGCACAGATACATATTTTCCTATATTTAAATAATATTTACATATAAAGTACTTATTCTTGTTTTATGTTTATCACAAACGAACATTCTGTATTTAAAGTGTTGACAGAATAATATGATAAAATAAATGTAAGAATGACTTACTATAATCGTATAATTCTTTCTAGTCAGAACTCTATTTTTAAAGGGCAAAATGACTCCTCTTTTGTTAGGCTAGACTTAAAAATATGTATTTACGAATTTTCTGCTTTTGCACCAAATGGAATTCTTTCCTAATAATTTTCTTTGAAAATGTGCTGCAGATTTTGTTTACATTGTAACTGCAAACTGTGCCATTATTATACAAGTTATAATTTACATTTAATACGAGACGACACCATCCGATCGTATGTTTCTACCGTATCGATCGAGAAGAAAATCATAGATATGCAATTCTATAAAAACTGTCGACTGCGCTCGTTTTGCATTTTCCTTGTAAACGTCGAGGAAAGTTCAAGAAACGAGGGAATAATGTTTCCTTATTTATATTGTATTAAAAACATTAATTTGTTAATTTCATAATCATCGAGTAAAAGTGAAATACTGACGTTAATTTTTAAAGAAATCTTTCAGTGCGATATATTTTTTTAAACGCAATACATATATTGAAAATACGACAGTATTAAAAATGACACATTTTGATGAAGATATGTATATTGAATCTTTACCTGCGTATGTACATAAAGATTTAATTAATGCATTAAACAAAGATGCAGCTTGGGTAACATTAGCGAATCATGTAGCTGAGCAGCTCCAATATCCGTGGTAACGAATAGTATATTTATACACAGTAAGACAATATTACTATATCACAGTACTTAATATTTTCAACTTTTCTATAACTTTTGTTATAGTCATATATGGATACAGTCTTTGAAGGGAACAAATGCACCATATGATTCTCCAGGACAAAGATTACTGTTCGAATTACATATCAAAATGTGTACTGTAGAAATCCTACGTACATTGTTAGATGATTGTGGCCTGCATAATATTATGTCTATTATATCTGATCCAGGTACCACATTATCTGTGTATGAATTATTCTGTAACACTTTAAAAATTCCTTATTTGTAACATCATCAGAACCGCTGGAAATTGTTACACATCCAGTGGAAGAATTACAAACTGATACTTTAAGCGTATCATTTGGACGTCACCTTCACTTATTCTGTAAAGCAGTTGGGATGCCACCTCCTAGTTACATGTGGTACCATGACAATATGCCATTGCATAATTGTACCTCTAATGAACTCGATATTGTTATTACTAGGTATAGTACCAAAATATTTTTAATCACATTTTAACTGTACAGTAAATTTTATTGTATATACTTCAAAGTGCTTCCCAGGCAGGAGAATATAAATGTGAGGTATCTCAGATTAAATATGATGGAACACTTATAGCAACTTTAACTTCGAAAGCCGTAACTGTTCCGGTATTTCCCATACCTGTTACAATAGAAGAACAACCACAACCAATTTTAGAAGTAAAAGAAGGAGATGACTTTACCATATACTGTAAAGCTAACAGCTATCCTAAGCCATGTTATCAATGGTTTCATGACAATACTAAATTGCAAGGGGAAACATCTAATGTATTGCATGTAAATAGTGTATTTTTTTTTCTACTACATTATGCAGTGCTACGATATGAATTAAATTACTTGTAATTTCAGATAAAACAATTCAGTTCAAAACATGAAGGAAAATATTATTGTCAAGTTTATAATGAAGTTAGTGAAGTTTATACTCAAAGAACCCATATCATGGTAATAATTATATGTATAGAACAGCACTCCTTTTGTATATATTACACTCATATGTATTAATTATTTAATATTATATAATAGATGTATCTTCCCAAATTAAAAGCAGTTGCGAAAATTGCTTTAATTATTGCAAATGGTGACTATGACTGCCATGAATGTCTTCCAACTCCTAAGAATGATGCTGCATACATTGCTAAACTTCTTGAAGAAATAGGTTTTGAAGTGATTTGTCTCATGAATTTAACTATAACTCAAATGAAAAATGCAATAAAAGTATTTAGCAAAGCCTTACTTGAAGGTGTTTACGGTAAGATAAGTAAATGAAAAAATATGGCAAATGCAAAATTAAGTAATCGTTCTTCTTGTTTAGGTTTATTCTACTTTGCTGGCCATGGTTTCAAAATGCAAGAGAGTTATATGCTTGCAATAGATGCTCCAAAAGTGTATTTGAGGAAAGATGCAATATGTGAAAGTGAATTGTTGGCAGCATTCCTTCAAAATGATCCTGAACTAATGATTATTATCCTAGACATGTGTCAAACGTTACCTTCAAAGCAAGTTATCTTTATTTATTTACTGGATAATATTTGTCTACTTATACTAATAGTATGTTTCTAGGGAATTTAATTCTAACATTTATAATGAAGTGCCAATCGTAACTGAATATAAAAGTAAGAAAAATCTTCGAAATTTAATCCAAGCATATTCAACATCTGGTCACCGACCTAGTTATGAAAGACTAAATAGTAAATATGGTTTGTACACGACACATCTCAGTAAATATATAAACAAGGATATACCAGTTACAAAATTGTTTGAAGAAGTAGGAAAGTGTATGTTCAACACTATTATATTCACACTATGCTTACATAGTTTGTTGGTTCTAGTATTGTATATAATAATCATTTTTGTAATTTTAGCCATTGACAGTTGCTTCAAAGGACAGGAACGCAATCAAATTCCAATGTTTGCATTGTCAATCACAAAACCATTTCGTCTAACTGATGCTATTCATAAAAGTAATTCTACTAGCATATATAACATGTGTATATGAAAATCAATATTCCTTCTCTTAGATATTAAACTCTTACAGGAGATCTTCCAGCAGCTATTAACTATTTCAATAAACTTACATTACTTTCGACAGTAACATTAGATATTACTTTTAAACAAGCAAATATCTGTACCAAAGTTACTATATCAACATTCATGGAACCTTATTTAAATGTGATAAAAATTAAGTTATTCAATCTACAAGATTTAGAAATCAACTTCTTTAATTCTGTTCCTGCAAAACGAAATAATTTATATCAAGATCAAAACAAGAATGAATGTTGGATTCACAATCCTCAAGTCAATGAGGTATGTATACTTCCTATTTTTATTTTCCGAATTATAAAAACTCTCATAATTTAAAATTCTTTTAGGGACCACTAGTTATCTCTGTATCTAAACATGGAACACCTGTAGGCGCAACAATATTACACATAAAAGATTACATACCTCCTTTACTGAAACTTATAGGTTCTTGAGTATATATATTTATTTTTTTGGTATGTAGTTAGAAAATAGAACGACATATGTAATTGTGTATTATTTGAAACACTCAGTTAAATAATTGAATTTTGATAACATATATATCATACACTTGAGTTTCCATATTTCATGCCACTGTGCAAAAGGAAGTAAACCAATTTGCATTATAATCTAAAAAGGTACCATCTAAAAATGAAAATCAGACAGTTGTGTACTATCAAATATGATGTTGATTTTATGTAATGTTAAGGTACATCTATCATAAATAATTACATATACTTACAGGTGTAAAATGATTTACTAATATTGCTACCCATGGTCCTCCTATGCCATCTGAATACTTCCTTTGAAATGTGTAATTGAACGTAGTCAGGTTTTTACTTATTGATTTATTATTTGGTGTGTTTAAAGGTACATATACACCAAATTGTGTTATTTCAAGAATGTGATCATAATCTATAACACACGACATTAATTGTATGAAAATATGAGAACACCATTATGTTATAGTATACATTTGTAGAAGTAATATTCATAGTATTTTAATTGCATTACCACTTTTACTATTTCTGGCAGTTGCATAAGTATTAGTAAACCAAACAGACTTTTCACCTACGGCAATTAATTCTCTCTGTGAGTCAGTCAGTTGATTAACACTTCCCTTTAACATTTGTATTAAATCATCTGTTACAAGACCATTCAATGCTTCATAATTTTGGGAAGCTAATGAACGTGATATCACTTTAATTGCCTAGAAGTAATACATAATTATATTTTTACGTTATGTAATATTCATTTGGAACACTTCTTATGTTATCATTATTATTGTAGAATATATCTGCAGGAAATAAATAAAAATTTCATACATGTAGTACTCCTGCAGAGAACTCATCTATATCAAACGTTCTGTCAATGGTATATCGAATTAAAATAGGAGCGATTTTTACGGTAAGCCAGCCAAACACAGTGGGATATTGAAAAGTCGCAAGATTTATTAATGGTGGCAACATACATCTTTCGTTAGGTGTACTACTAAATAAACGGTAGTACACTTTAGGATGTTGATTCACTTTTCTTTCATTTTGGTTTCTATTATGTATAAGAACAGTTGAAAACTGTCGTATTTGTGAACGAAATGCATATCTTTTAAAGATCAAAGATATCATATTGTACTTCAATAATTTTCATCAAACAAGGAACCAGGAATCATGTGGATCAGTTCCCATAACCTGTATAAGTCTGAATATTGACATATAATTCTTTCGTTACGAAATTATATATAAAATTTAATAAATGTTGATGCAATGCAATTATGTAGTTTCATAAATTTGTACTTGTAAATTATATACATGCGTACATATCAGTTTAAACAAATTCTTTTTCAAATAGAACTCGAAGTTACCCCTCTATAATATTTTATGCTGGGTAAGGTTCGCCAACTCCATTAAGTTCTATCTGACGACCATGGTCCCTTCTTAGATTTAACGTAGTTCACAAATTCACCGTTCTCATAACGTAGAGGGCAGCAGAAAATCCCTGACTTTTTACACTATCGGTATTTCAGAACATGAGACACGAAGTCCCATAAGATGATAGGTCTATCCTATACCTAATCGGTGGTGCGACGTACTCCGGTTCGCTTCGAAACATTTATGGCAAGGCAAAAAGGCACGGTTTTTCGCTCCTCTATCTATCTGTGTGATGTGTGTTGACTGTGTTTCACTGTGTATAGAAAAAACTGGAAAGAACCGAAAGAACGCTGATTTGTGGATTCTATGTTCATCTTCACAGAACTTTTAAAAATTACATAGATTTTGTCAGTTTAATTTTTAATTGTAATTACTATGAGGTTCACAAGCGCGTTGTTTTCAAGAATGGGCTACTGGTCTAAAAAGTATGCGAATTTCCCGGAGCGCTACATAAACCGTGTCACAGAAAAGGTACAATTATTTGCTTTAAGTGTATTAGAATTAATTATACGGTTTTCTATATGTACACTTATTTCAATTGTTCACTTTCATACGTAGATTTATTGGAGAACACCGCGGAAAGTGCAATATCTCCCGCGTGTGATGAAAAATAGACGGTTGTATTTCTCAGTTGACCGACCATGGACGAATGAATTTCAATTGATAAATTTCAATGGTAAAGATCCTGAAGTTATACCCGTTGAACCCATTAAAAATTGGAGTTTCTTTCGTGGAGATCGTGTAAGTAACATCAAACGTACAATGAGTTTTTCATTTGAGAGCGTATAAATATTTTTGTGGCTCACTGTATATTCTGGATCATATAAAAAGTTTACTTCAGAGTTACACATCTATTTTTGTTATCCTTCATATTTTCCTGAAAAATGTATTTAATGCGCTGATACCATGTGTCTTTAATCCTCAATGAGTAATGTCTCTTCGATATTTAAAATTATGAATGAAAAGGTGCATGTATATAAAAAAGATTCATTTACCCAAAGAATTAAATAATGTTCCAATATTTTAATCAACAACTTACGAGGTATAAAATGAATCACAGTATCTTACAAAGAATATTATTTTTTTAGGTGGAAGTATTAACTGGTCCTGATAAGGGAAAACAGGGTATGGTGAAGGATATTATACAGGAGAGGAATTGGATTATTGTTGAAGGACTCAATACAAAGTTGCACTGTTTTGGTAAAACTAAATCCTTTCCTGGAGTTTATGTTCGTCAGGAACAGCCTCTGTTAGTTACAGAACAAGTCCATTTAGTGGATCCTGTTGACTTGTAAGTGTGATATAGACCCTGTGTAATGTAGCAGTCCATAAGTACACTGACATGCAAACTGGGCTTCCATTAAGGGAAAAGTAGTGTAATTGAAGGGCTGCATACCACTAGGTAAATTTAAAACAAGTACTGATATAAATGTTAAACTAAATGTTAATTTGACATAAATTCCAGTAACTCCTGAAACCGAGTGGTAGGAGGCTCTTTCCAAAAAATGCATTAATACATGTTTGTTTATTTTAGAAAAGGTACTGCAATCGAATGGAGATATACAGAAACTGGTGAACACGTACGAGTGTCTTGCAGAACTGGTAGAATAATTCCTGTTCCAAAATCAAGCGAAGAAACAAAAGATTATAAGAGTCCTGACTTATATCCAGAAGAACCTAAAGATACTACAGCAAAGTATGTGAGCGAAGTAACATTCGAGGTATGTATCAGAGGTGTTTTGTCATTCGTATCGAACATTCGTAATTTTTCTATTTTATTGACATTTAGCCTGCACTGAAAACATTTGAAATGGATATCATGGAGAAAATGGGTATCAAAGAGGATCGTATACCAAAGAAATATTATTGGTACTAATTTCGTGTTGGCTTCGAGTATTTCTTTAAGTTTTATAATGTATGAGTAGGTTTATCTAATGTACAGAATCAAGTATGTTAATATGTTTTCAAAACTTGTGTACTTTATTCTGCTATCCTCCTTGAAAGTCACCTTGAACCAGAATTGCAAAGCAATTAAAAATGAAAATTAAACAGATACTTGTAGTTCGATTGTATGATTTATTGTCGAGAAGAGTTACACTGCGGCGTTTTCTATCCATGAATCGTGTATAGAAAATATGTACGGGAGGGAAAAGCGTAAGTAACGTTAAAGAATCAAGCGGTTAATCGAATAGTTCGTAAATATTTATGTTAGATTTAAAATGTATTGTTATTGCGAGTCGTTTTTTGTTTTATTAACGCTTGTTAGTTTTGTATTAACACACATACATATCACAGCACGATTTTTAACAAACGCAAATCTAGAAACGAATGTCAGTCTACATTTAAATACTCCAGTAACATAATGCGTTATATTAACATTTCTTCCTTCCATTTTTTTTTTTTATATTATATATGACATTTTTCTAGATATTCATTGTATCTCGAAATTCCTATTTACAGAATCATGTCTTCGTTCGGGTCGTAACAATTCGTATTACACAAAATTACGTGACAGAAGCGTGTCGGTATGCACGCTGCCTTCTTCATTAGGATACTAGCTAATTATGAAAAGCGTTCCTCCATTTACATTAATTAAACGTATTCAAAACAATGCTAAAAAGATATAAATTATAGTTGACGGATACCACAACAAAAAGAAGGGAAAAGAAAAACTATCTCCCTGAAAACGGAGGTATCCAAACAATCATGTAACAATAATACCTCATAATGTAAGCACGATATGCAAATCCTAAGTAACGTTCCAACAAAATATTTGTTATCCTTTAAAATTAAGAAAAGGAGAATTAAACCGTTCGCGAGAGAACAGAATTTCGAACGCCAAGATATCATGGATACAATTCGCGCATTGTATCGTACAGTTTCGTCCGGATCGAGTTTCGTCGCAAATGCTTTTCTCATTTGACAGTCGGCGGCGCGTTCAAAGTAATTCTATCGTCCAACAGCGTTCCTTGCGAATCCCCGCACGACACGCTCGGTTTAATTGACTATCGTTCACGATGATTTGGTGGCAGGGTGCCTGACTAGGAGGTTCACTAATAATTGGTCCCCTGCCTTTAAGGCACCTGTTTTTTCGGCAGCACCTCCTGTAAGAATTACACAGATTATTGCTACTACTTAATCAACAGCAACTCGAGATTTTCACTGTCTTGCATTAAACATTCGTCAGTGTTTAGGTTTGAGGATATAAGTCGTTCAATTTCTGATCAAGTTGGAATAATTCGTTTTCCAAGAACACAGATCATAAACTCAAAAGCATAAACAGCGACAGTTGTATTATTCGTGTCTATTTCATTATAAAGACAGTGACCATTGAGACATACCGGTAAATATTTTCTTAATCATCAGTGGCCTGTCCCCGAGGGGGCTATCTCGGCCACCCTCGAGGCTGAATCCTAATCCAGCCCCGTCCTTGTACACCGCTACAACCGAGGGTGGTCCCCAAGCAGTATCCTCTGCGATACCGTTCGTCTCGAATCCTTTGGATAACAAAAAAAAAAAAAATGCATTCTATTTTCCCGAACATATCTCCAAAGAATCTACTGGGTGTCCAATTTTCCCGCCTCACCTTCGATGATAGTTTCGACGCTCGCGGTCCGCGACCTCAGTCTGCACCCTTCCTCGGTCCTCGCTCGCGAAACGACCAAAACGACCTCCGATCTCGGCTGTTTCAGCACCGTTAAACTTTCCCTGTGCGTGATACCGCGCGTGCTTCTCCCGTTTATACTCAAAATTCTGTCTCCCTTTTGCACGCGACCGTCCCGGTCCGCTATGGAATGCGCCAAGACTCGGTGAACCGTGATCTCTTTGACCTCGCAGTCCGCTCCGCCGGCCAGCGTGATCCCTACACTACCGGCTGGGTTCTCCTTGTGAAGCAGCACGACGATCACATCGTGAACACCTCTGGCCTCCTCGAGACTCGCCTCCTCGACCAGCTGCGCCAATTCCTGTTGCGAGATCAGGCTCGTGCTGCTCGCCAACGAACTGATGCTACCGAATTGCTCGCTGCAACATCTGTCCGTGTCCACATCCGTGCCTACAGGGGACAGATTCTCATCCACGCTGCTGTCGAGACTCGGGAACCGGTTATGAGCGGTTGCTGGACTCTGAAGCTGGTTGGACGAAGCATCTATCTTCTCCAGAGCTTTCTTCATGTCCGTGACGCTCGCGCTTCTACGACCAAGGCTCCTCGTGGTCGGGATCTTGGACAATACCTTCGACTTCTCGACGTCCATTATCGCGTCGTTGGTATCAGCAAGTCGGGACTTCCCTAACGTTGGTATTTTCGAGACGAATGGCTTGTCCTCCGTCCACGACTCGTTCGAAGTGATCGAGCTCCTCCTACCGTAACGATTCTCCTTCGATTCCCAAACCGATCTGTTCTGACTTACAGGAACAACGGTGCTCTTCTCGGTTCTTCCCTCGACGCTTTGAGCCCGGGACAACTTCACGTCTGTCTTCGCGCTTAGAATATCCTCCAGGCTCATCTGGCTCTTGGATCGACCGAAGCTTCCGTCGTCCACGTGGATCGCCGATCTGGATCTGCTTTTCGTCGTCAGAATCGTTAGAAGATCGTTCTGATCATCGGAGGATTTCTTAGAAGTCACGCTGGGTCTGCTTCTCGTCTTCGAGACCTCTATTATACTAGACTCGTTCTCGTCTGTGTTTCGGTTCCCCGATGGCAGGTCGATGGAACTATGTTTCTGTTCCTCGGCGACCGATTTACTGTTTTTCAAGGCGACAGGTTCAGGAACTGGTTCCGGTTTCTTTTCGATCTTATTGATCGCCTTCAATTCCGCCGATCTGGCCAAGGCCTTAGCCTCCGTACGTACCCACATCTTGAGATCGTTCGAGGGCTCCAGCATTTCAGACTTAGGGGGTCGGGCAATCGGAGGCGGGACGCTTCTCCTCGGTGGCAGCTTCGGTTCCTCCTCTTTCTGATACGAGTCACTCTCATTGAACGTGTCTGTCACCTCTATATAAGCGATCTTCACATCCTGTGGACTGGGTACGGTATTTTTCATTCTACATTTCTGACGATCGTCACCGTTCTCAGCCACTGGATGATGATCCTCATCTGTAAACTTCCTTTGTATCAGCGGCGACCCGTTCAGGTCCCTACCGCTTCGACACCTGGCACTGGCCAAAATATTCTTCCGATTGATCGCCTCCACGCTCTGTGGTTTCAGCACTCTTCTGGACAACGATTCCGCGCTCGCCTGTGAACCGGATGTCAGGGTCGAGGATGTGCTGCAGTTAGTGTCGGTGCTGTTCGATCGTTTCAGTTGTCTCTGCGGTATCTGCGAGCTCCTTGCGTTCGACTCTATCGGCTGAGGAGATCTTGGGTCCGAACTGCTGCTACTGGAGGACGATCTTTCGTTGACGAACGTTCTTTCGTTTAGTATACTCGATCGGGAATAGTCCACTGTACTCGACTCTCTCGCGTACGTTCTTGTTGGACTGTCCATGATCAGAGATCGATGCCGGAAACTGGTCTCCGTAGACACATAGGATCTCTCGGACGAAATGGTGGATCGTTCGGAGGGTACAGGTGACATCGGCGGACTGAATCCACGGGAGATACTGCTCTGGGAGCTGCTCACAGCGGAGTCGTTGTCAGAGTCCTCGTAGTCCATTCGTGTCTTCCTCTGGACGTTCTTCTGCCTGTTTCGTAATCCCTCGGGCGAACTGGCGGTCGACGCGAACTCGAAGCTGTAGTCGCTCCTCGTCGGGCTGCAAATGCTCTCCAGACTCTTCGGTGGCTCGGACATCGTCGGTGTCGATGCTGTCGTGGGCTTCGCACCATTAACAGAGGAATTACTCGAGGACGAACCATACACCGCTAGACTCTTCCGTTTGAACGCTGGGGAATACTTGGAGTGTATCTGAGGTGCTGGCATCTTGAAGGACGTGGTCGCCTTTAGGGGACCGCTTGCTGTGCTTGCATTACTGGCCAGGGAGCTTTGAGAACCCCATTTGTCCTGTATGTTGGCTTTTGGGATCTGAAATAGGTACGTAAGTCATTTCTATCATCCTATTACAATCGGTTACGCTACTACGATATGTAGAGATCGCACTCACCTGGTGTAACAGTATAGAATCACGCGACTTGATCTCTGGCAGGTCGACAATAGGCGCTTCGATGGGTACAGCCTCCTTTTCCGGGATCACCAATCCCCTCAGCTTCGATATCGACCGTCTCCTCTGCTCGATCAGTTGGTTCAAGCTGGTCCTCCTGATGTCTTCGTTTGGCCTCCGGAATGTGGACGCCAATGAGTTCGTCCTGGCGATCTGAGAAGTGCCGGTGGACAGCTCGTTTGCCGCGACGGTCCGTTCCTGGCCGTAAGGGGTCGACCCGGAGAAACTCGTGGCGCGGGTCAGCACGGTGATGGTCGCTGGTTTCGGTGGCACGCTCGAAGAATTCTGATTATTCCCAGGATTCGCCGACAGCGGACTATTCGGGGGAGTCGCGTAACACTTGATCGGGGACTTGGGCATCGATGGTTTCTCGAACGAGTTCGTCAACGGCTTGGGCGGGACCACAGGGAAGGTTTTCGACGTGTGAATCATAGGCGGGGTCAACGAGGGCGATCTCTGACCGAACTTTCTCCCAGGCTCTGGACCGACGTTCCTCCCGGAATCGGTCAGATCGAAGGAACTTTGAGTTCTATCGGCGAAGAAAGACGTTCTGTCCTTCTGGCCGGGACACTTCTCGTCGCTGCAAACATCCTCCGTGGATTTATACTTGGACAACCGTCTGCCGTTGCTGGTAGCCGTGGTCGCGACCGTTACTGTGTTCGGGAATAGAGGTCCGTCTAAACTGCTCTGCGAAGAGAACATGGCGATTTTGTCCCTGACGGACCTCTCGGACTTGTCGTCTTGCCTCCAAAGTTCTCCGTTCAACGAGTACTTCCTCTGAGGCGGTTCCAGGGTCGGTGGGTTCCTCGAGTATACACCGACCGGTTCCATCTTGGGCGGGCCTGACGAAGAAGATACAGTGTCTAGAAGTATCCAAGAGTGTTCGACGGTAGATTCACGTTGAAATAGTAGAAACAACTTCGAAATCCCTTGCCCACTATTTCAACGCGTACCCATCGAGATTTCCGAGAACAAAGATTAATTCTTACCAGTTAACGGCAAAGGCGGCGGCGTGTCCAATGTCTCTTTCTCGGCATGGTCCAGCTGCGACTCCTCGATAACCGGTACGTCTTTGTGATAGTATCCGGTGATCTCAACCTTCTTCTCCGACACCACGATGTTACCGTTACCCTGGTTCCCGTAGCTAGAGTAGTTGGTCGCAGACGTTGCTTTCTTCGCGAACTGTTCCGGGACGTATGGCTTCCCGTCGTCCGTTCGGGTCTCTCGAGGGAGGACACCGCTCGTGTCCTGGCAGACACCCTCCACCACGGTCTTCCCGTTTATCTCGACGCTCGACACCACGACCTTGTTCACCTCCTGACGTACGTTCTCGCAGCTCGACAATCCGACCCGGTTCTCCGATAGAATTATGCCACCCGCGGTGACCACGTTACCGTCGATCAACTTGAAGCTTTCTGTACCGATGAACGTCTCGGTCTCGTCGTTCCCGCACACCAGACCGCCGCCGTTCGCGGTCATCGTAGACGCCCTCGTCGTCGCGCTCGCTGTCACGAATCGGTACTGCTGCCCGGCCCCGGCGAACTCTTGATACGCCGCCGGAAATTCGTCCCCGTCCGGGGGCAGGCGTTGACCGCCTCCGCAGTTGTCCATCCTACCATTTACCGTCTCTGGAATCACATACACACGGAAACGAGATTTAACATTGTGCGAAGGAGAGATATCGGGCCCTGGTTACTGTAAGACGGACCTTGCGTGTACGGGGAACATTTCGAGCTTCAGCGTATACCGGTACAGTAGAAACCCGTTTAACCATTTGCCGTGTAATAACGGGCCTGAACTTGCGGTGAGTATTTTAAACTAGATTTAGCCCAATCACGCCTTCAAGACGACTTAACCCTCATCCGTCCCTTGTGTCAATTTGATACAGTGTTCTCCTAAGAAATTACGTTACTTTGTCGTGTGTAGGTAAATTTAGTTGAGGCTTCGTGGGTTTTGTCTTAATGAATTTGCAAATTTAACTATTTATCGCTTCATTGTATTAAGTTTTACCACTGGGTGTCTGTTTGTCCGAGGGACAAATTAAGTTCGGAAAATGTGGGATGGATGAGGGTTAAAGACGCTTTGGACTTAACACAGCCGTGAAATGGGCGTTTTCAAGGCGTCGAATATCAAGGCAAGTGAAATATTACTTTGTTGATTTTCACGTTTAACCCTCGAATGGTAAGGTGGGTTTTAAGGTCGCATTATCAAGATAAAGTGTGGATTCATTTCCTAGAAATTTAGCCATCCAGAATCTCCAACGATGCAATAAGCGGACCTCTACTATAACTGTTCAAGTCTCTGTAACTGTTCAAGGCTCTAAAATCACGCGTGTGATTGGAGCTCGCTCACTGCATCATTTCCTAGAAATTTAGCCTATATCTACAACCTCCAACAATGTAATAAGCAGACCTCCACTATAACTGCTCAAGTCTCCGTAACTGTTCCAAGGCTCTAAAACCTAAAACACCGTATCTCCGTCCGCAGTTTCGAGCCCAGCCGGGTATAAAATGTGACGGGCGTTCAACGGCATTCGAATATCAACGTTTCGTTCCATTACAACCAGTTTTCTAATCCGGGGGAGTATCGATGTCTACCTGTAACCGGGACAGAGAGAGAGAAAACCGCTTGCGCAATTCCATTAGAAAAGTCCGAGCATTGAAATCTGAAATCGATTCGTAAATTCACCGTGGAAACAGCCACGCCGCGATACTATTCAAAAAGGTCATCGGACCGGCGCGGAAATTCGCTCTCTCGCCTCCGAGAACCAAAGCGGTGCGTATCGCGGCGTGTTTATAACCGGAGATTAGCGGTGATCAGCGGGCGCGCGCGCGCGTTTTCGTCCGTTGGAATCTGTTTTATTTCGAGATACGTACCAATGATCGATCCGTGGATCGATCAGAAACGTAACCAGCGGATTTCCATCCGCCCTGAGCGAATTCGTCGCTCGTGCGTGTAGAACCGTGATCGATTCAGCGTCTCGCGTGTGCGCTCGAGAGCAGACACGTCGATGTTGCAACGCGATCGTCGTCGTCTTGGTTGTTCGAACGATCCGCTCGAGCATTTCGAGCGTGCTGTGGAGCACGGAGAAGCATTCCAGGCGGGTGAAAGGGGGGGAAAAAAAAGGAGCTTTAATAAAACGCTGCCCTCCTATTGCGATAAGGCAGCGAGCGCGCGCGGAGGGATTTGAAAAATCGTCGAGCGAGCGGAGCGGTTACACGAACCTCGAATATTTTCTCGAACGCTGATTCCGCGTTTATCGCTCAGAAAGAGAGAGAGAGTCGGAGCGCCGCGGCGGAACGCAGGAATTTTAATCTACGTGAGAGCAGCAATTGAGATATTCCCATTTAGCGCGGCGCTGGCTCCTATCTTTACGTGCCTTCGACGTTACGATTCGCGTTTGGACTTCTCGGGCACGAAGGTTGCCCGATTGTTCGACGAGCAAAGCGTTCCGCGACGCTTTCGCCTCGGGAAATTGGGAAACACGACGATCGCTGGATGATGTCCGTTTTCGAAATATCTTCGAATGGTTAGAATTGTGGTTTTTAGAGGGCAAAGAATTGATGTTGATTGTTGCTGTTGTACAGAATGAAATTGTAGCTCTTTCTGGTGTGAATGCGGAGAAAATTAGACGGCATCTGGTCAGATAAAGTCTTTATGTATTTTTAAAACATAAATTTTTGTTAATTCCTTTTCGCTCCTAAGAAATATCTATGGCCCAGTTTCTAGAATCTTTTCATACAAAATATAAGAACGTCTTTATGAGTATTAAGTTGTCTGGAAAGTTCGTATCATTTCATAAAGTAAAATTGCAATTTCTATCTTATTTTTCGAACAAATGTAATTTCCACTTACTTTCCAAGCTTCTTATTTTTACAAATATTTTAGTACAAAATTTACATAAAATTTGTGTATTTCTGTTTAAAAAACACTTTAATATGTTTTTGATTGATTTCTACAGTATCGTAGATTTTTTTTCCTGACATTAAATGGACAGAATGGTTCTCCCAAACGTGAAAATATCTTCCAAGTTTATCATTCTATACAAAATTATTAATAAAGTGATTTATTGTATACTACTTTCTAAAATTTGTATCGACTCTATCGAGTCACTTGATTTCAAGTTACGGCTCGCTTCGAATTACTGCGGACGCTTTGGTCACGCGAATCGGTGAATCAATTTCCAGCGCAAGTGGCTAAGTTGTATGTTGTAATTTGTGTGTTCGAGTGAATCACTATACGGATGCGGTAAAAATAATATTACTAAGAGCTGTGTAACAAGAGCGACGATAGGATGACGAAATCCTAAAGGACTTTGAGATGAGACTAGAAAAACATTGACGTATCTTCTCAAAAAGGAATGTTTATAGACATTCCTTGGAGAAGATCAACAACGTCAGCCATTCTTCAGAATCAATCCAGACAAAATTTCACATTATAATTGCACAATAGAAAGAAAAACTCGGCTGTTAAGTCTAACTTCTGTTAGGTGTACAAAAGGTGGCCCCTACAATTAATTATTGGCTTAAAACTGCCATCATTTTTTCGAAAGGGGATTCCCAACTGCTCGAGAAATGGCATAAATGAATAGAAGCTGACGAGGAATATTCTCAAGACTAGATTGTATTTTGTTTTTTTTGTAAACGAAAAACAAATGAATTAATCAGTACGTCTAATATATTCCAGAAGGTAAGCAAATAATAATATAATAATATAATAATATAATCCATAAGTAACCAAACTCAGACCTAGTCACCTGCTACAATTTCGAAGAACAATTTCACAAATATTTGAAAGAATTATTTCAAATGATCAAAAAATAAAATGACATGTTATTTGAAATAATATTATTAAAATAATATCATTTGACAAGTGGCCAGATCTGCAGAACCTTTGCAACCAGATCTACAGTACACTCCAGTTTCTATAATCCCTCTGAACCACCAATTCAAGTCAGACCATTGACAGATCGAGTCCACTATCCTCGAAGAATTCGTTTCGAACCACCAACTCAAGTCCTGACCTTTGACAGATCGAGTCCACTTTCTGCGACCCTGACGAAAGAACCATTTCTAACGATCTTCCTCGACGTTCGTCGTTCGAAACTCGAGACACCTCGAGACCCCAAGGACGAATGTCGCCGATGCAAAAAGTCCTGGGTACTGGTTATTTTAGCCGATTTACGCAATCGCGATACTTTCACGCGGCGAGTACTCCGGTCAAGCCCTCGCCGTTGGTGTCAGCGCGGGAATCGTTCGCTTGCTCGCGGATTCGCGGTTTCCTCGCGGCCGACCTGATCACTCGAAGTTGAATCCAAGGATTTCTACATTCTATCTATCGCTTGGCCTCTGATAAAACCGAACGCCCGTTGTGGCCGTTATCGGCGAGCGGGGACCCGGGGTGTGTCGAGACCTGCTCTTTCGCGTCGAGCCGCGGGAAAACTCGCGACTGAAATAATATTTCAAAATTACCTTTCGAATCGGGCCCCTTTAACCAGTGACTTCCGCGTTTCTACATCGAGGAATCTCCATCGAGTTTTCGCTATTTCGACCCGTCCTGGGCTACCTTTCCACTATGTGCGTGGAACGTTAACCGTTGAATGGAATGGAAATGTCGGAAAGAACGTGCATTCCTGTCTGGTGGTGTTAAGACACCTGTTTGGGTCTGGTTAAGTAACGGTTACGTGGAGTTTTATCTACTGGTTGAAGTTGATTAGGTGTTTTCTGTATCTGTTGTAATTAGACTGCGGATTTTTATGTAAAATTACATTTTCTGAGGTAATTTGTGAAGACAGGAACAAATGTAGGAATTTTGTTTTCCTATTAAGTGTCTTATTGGGTTCAAGATAAAATAGAAAATTCGTTGGATACAATGAAAGTTTTGGCTTGTTTTATATTTCTTTGACAACTTTTATCATTTACTGGCAATTTACTCGAAACTTGTTCACAACTGGTTTTCAGGGTAGTTATAAGTATTTGGACACCTGCAGTATTTGTAGAGAACGATATTTGCATTGGCGTAACGGGGGGTGGGGGTCAAGAATGTGCATTTAATTCCCCCCTGAAAAGAAAAAGCTCTACCCTAGAGGGGAAAAAATTGGGTTCTGCTCTCCCACCCCTTAAAGGAAAAAAATATTATATTTATTAATATTTTGTATGTAAAAATAAATATAAATTCCATTTAAAGTAATATTATCATAAACTGATAACCTGAGTATTCTAATGGATATTTGTGTAAAAAAGAATTATTGTTCTAACATATGTTCCCCTTGATATCATGCAGCTTTGGTTTGAAACAGTCTTTCGTATAGTAAGTAACTCATGAGTAATTAAAAATCATCAAGTTATGTGGCTGTAACCGTGTATTTCTATTGAACTTCAGTATTTTCTACGCGGTATGCGTCCCGATAGTCAAGAACGGGAATGTAGGTTCTACATTGCTGAAGATAATCGACACGAGGCACTCGAGGCATGAAGATTCTCCGATGTAAAATGTAGTCTAAACGTCTTCGTGGGCTCGGTTTCATTTAACGAAGACCTGTTCTATACGTTTCAAGTGTGTGCTTGCGTTAGTTGTGTATCAAGAAACGCAGCCCTAGGGTTTGATTCCGTTGATGCGATATTCTACT